ACTTCCCTCTGGCAGTCACCTTCCCTCATTGGTCCACCCGTCTGAGAAATGCTGAGCTGCAGCTCCTGCTTCTTCCTTCCTTGCAGCCAAAGGAAACTATCTTTGTGGAAGTGGGACCCTCACATCAACACTATCTTCTTGTCCTCTGGTTCCATGCCACGCTCTCCAGCTCAGGGACACTCTTTTCTCTATCAGATGCAGTGAAGGCATGCACAATCTATACTCCAGCAAGACCTACCAAAGGCCCCCTCTGCTTGATCATATTCAGTAATTAATTTTTTCAATAATTTTAACCTTTTGGGAGGGGGGCAGTGAATCAGGTACATCGTATACACCTGAAAATACAGTATATTTCAGACACGTTGATAATATATAGAGAACAACAACAACATAGTTTAATTTGTTTTGAGGCACCAATTTATTTAAGTACAATAGTGATCAGTTATGAAAAATGAATGAGTCAAAAATGAAACTAGCTAAAATCAACAAGAACTAGAGTTCTTTTGTGGTATATTACTGTAGAAAATTAGAGCGTGCTGTTTTCCCTTTACCCATTATTTCCAGGCTGTTCCAGTTTGCCTCCCGCTGAACCTTGAGCCGAATTATCAGTTGCTTTACCTGGCAGAGCAAACAACAGAAAATGCTGTTCTGCATTTAAGGTTTAAATTGCCAAATGCCAGCAGGTGAGCCTTTGCCAATAATAAAAGTATGCATGAAAGTTATGGACATTTGTTTCCATTAAGTTTTCAGAGGGTGACAGAAATGTTCAGCATTGAATGTGTAATTCTTACCGTCATCTCCTCAGGACCAGATAAGACATCTTTATACCATGGAAAATGACTGAACTGATATCACTGGCACTTAGTGGAACTGAAGTCATTTGAAACGACAGGAAGAGTAATTGCCTGGAGTCAGTTTACAGCATCACTTACTGATCATACTGTATCCCTAAGCCAGTCTTTCAATATAGGGAGACCAGCAAATTCCTAATATAGTATGACTGGAGATACCTTTTATCTAATTACTCATCAGCTAAATGAACTGTTAAAGAGGACTTTCTATCAGACAAGAGGCAGTAGCAGCTGACTAGTGCAGAACTGCAGTCAGTCGGTGAGCAGGGACCCCCTTGGTGTGGGCTGTATGCACCACACTGCACTAGAGTCTTGATGTGATCATATCACCATGTTTACCCAAGTCCAAGAGAACCATGAATTTAAGAAGACTCCCCAGTTATTAGATTCTAGACATGGAAAATTATAAATCTGTTTTAAGTTTCCATGTATAGAGTTATTGGAGGTTCCTCTTAAATTCTTCCCCCCCACCCCTGCCACAGGGAAAGTAGTGACAAGGGAGCTCTCATCTCTTATGGGGGGAGGCTCAGCCCTCCTGAGCTCCCCCATAATTCGAATCCTGCTTGTCACCCTCTACTGCCTGCCCTCCCCTCTCCCTTTACCTTTGCAGTTGCTCCAGCTTTGTCTCCACCAGGAGCATAGAGCACCCCACTGG